TTCGAGAGTAGTTGAGTTTCTGCACATTACCTGTGGCACCTTAAGAGGTGATGCTCTTCGCCTCTGACGAGCCAAAGCAGCTACCCCGTTGATTTTCAGTGTCCTTTGAAGAAGAACCAGAAGCGTGCATGAATTGGACAGCCAATATGCTAGTGTCTCGTTGTTGTCTCGTGCCTAGCAGTGAAGAAAATTAAATCATGTTTTCATTTCTCACTAACATAAAATCCATTATCCCATATTACTTGGCACTCTGCCAGATACCTCAAGAGCAGCAGTAATCTTCTGAATAATCCGATCAAAGACCACGGTCCGTTCTTCTTCAAATGATCTCCAATGAACTAGACACCTGTAGATGAGGTATGCAGCAACTGGCCTACCGATCGAGAAACCCAGATCTTCAGATAGACACTTGATCAGAAGCTCCTGAGCGTTTTTGAGATATTAAAAAGATGCTCAGATGCATGGCATGAACTGCAAAACAGTAAAGCTGAAAAGTTCAGAGGTAATGCCATACTTGCTGTTGCTTCTCAGCTTCATGACCATTTGAGCTAGGTTGTTCAGCACTCTTCTCCTAGTTAGAAATCCATTATGCCATGTCAGCAATGCATAAGCAACCCACAAAACAAGTTATTGACTCAAATGGTTATAGGATCATACATACATGAATATTACCCTCCCTATCCACAATTATGGGCTTCACTGTACCATTTGCTGATTTCTCATTATCTGGAGTTGCCTGTCAAACATAAATGTACACAACTATGATCAGTTATGAACTAAAAGAAACTATGATTTCTTAGTACAGAGCATGGAATCACAAATCTGTTAATGATACGATGATTGGACCTACCTGAATACCAGGTGATTCATGGTTCTCACTCGATGGCAACTTGACAATAGCAGGGTGTAACGCCACAGCCTGTCGAAGCATTCTGTTTTCCTCATCTAGATTAGAAGCCTTCTCCTCCATCCTATGAAATAACCATGCAAAACACTAGGATTTCCATCATGAACACACTGGAAGCGTGCTTTGTGCAAAGAGGAATGGCAATGTTATCTGATTTTGAACCCTTATAATTACCTTTTCAGGGAATCTTGAAGCCGTTTGTTCTTAACTTCCTCAACTCCAAGCAGCCTGGCCAGCTTCTCATTCCTCAATTCAGCTTCAGCAAGCTCCTTCTTGGCGGCAAAAGTTTCACTCATTTCAGCTCCCAGCAAATCCTGCACACCATCAAGCCTTGATCTTGAGTGTTCAGATATCATGTTTTTCAGATGAAACCATTCCACATTGCACAATCTCTGAATGAAATTGGTGTGAAGGAGAGACCTTCAGGCGGTCAACTTCGGCATTCAACGCCTTGACCTTCTCAGTATCCTCAACCATCACCACCGAGGCTGCTTCCAATTGCGCTATCGCATCCTTCGCCGCCTCTCTCTCGTTAGTGGCTCTCGTCTCGGCGTCATTGACAGCCTGCTGGAGCACGTCCACCATCTCACGCAGCCTGCACATCTCATCCAGCATTTCCCTCTCAAGATTTTCCTGCACATTGTCCATATATCAAGCGGAGAACACAAGAAAACCGGGCACCCATGAGCAGTAGAGAGATGAGGGCTGGACCTGTCTGAGCTTCCTGAGCTCCTTGCTTGCAATGCTTTGCCTCCAAGCACGTTGGCAGATGAGGGCGGCTCTCTTCGTCGTCAGGTAGCTCCACACCGCCCTGTGCGCACGCCATTGCGCCTTTTTTTTGTTCGGACACGATGAAAAATCAGAATCCATTACTAGTGTGTGCAGCCACACAGTGAAGCTACAGTTGATCACTGTATGCTAGTACCTGGATGCGTGTCGCAGCTCTGGTCTGCTTCCGGATAGAGAGCTCGCGCTGCGCCGCCATCGCCCTCACGGTCGCCTGCACGGTGACGGCGGCGGCCATCAACCGCAGCCGCGATGACTCCTTCCATGACAGGTACCGGCGGCGCAGGCTCCTCTGGAGGAAGAAGACGGCGAGGATGATGAACACGGGGCGCCCCGCCGTGTCCCAGCTCGCGAGCTTGCCGTGCCTATGGACGAACGCCCCTGCAGAACCGAAGCGCCCGTGGGTTGGATCACGATCGAGCTGGACTGTTTCTTCTTGGATAGACTGAAGAATCGACGAGAGAAACGAGACGGCACTCACGGAAGAGAAGCCGCAGCCAGGCGATCAGGCGCCGCGCGGGGCTGTCCTGCGCGCGCGCCGCCTGTGTGACGGTGACCACGGCGGCGGCGGCGGCGGCTTGCCTCTTATGATCTCCATCCATGGGCGACCTTGACCTCGATGGGGCTTCTCCTGCTCCCACTGCACTGCAGTCCGCAGGCAAACGTATGTGAAATCTTGGGATCGGATTGACGGAGAAACGAGTTAGAATCAGATCACAGAATGATCACTGAAGAGAAGCACGATCAAGCCTGTTACCGATTTGCTCATGAGCAGAGATGACAGAACATTGCGGTTGGCATCTCTGCCTCCTCCTGCTTGCTCCCGAGCTGGCTAGGTACTTTCCCCTCTCTTGCCCTGCCTTTTTCCTTCTCCCCCCTTTTGATTTTCAGACTAACAATGACATGTCACCTTCAAAATATTAGATTAGATGGGACACTGACATTAGAAAGAAAGAAATTCAGAAACATAATTTATTTTCATCAATTAATGGTACCGACAGCAAAATCTGCAGGGCCAGATTGTGAGTATGTGTGTAAAATACACAGCAAATTTAAAAGCCTAGCACAAGTTCGTTGTGAATAGACAAAAATAATAGGACGTGCTGGAAAAGATCTGGTTCGGTTGCCGATGGCTGGCCAAGTCGTGCTGCCTCTGTTCATCAACGGAGAAAATAATGCATTTCAACTAAACCATTTTAAATTTTAAATTGTTGAAACTGCGGTAGATGTGGATGGAGAGGAAGGGCTCACATCGTCTGCGGCAACAGCTGGATGGCATCGGAATAAAGATTTTTTCTTTTGTAAACAGGATTATGAGATGTGATGATTAATTGCGAGATTTAGTAAATTAACAGAGAAAGCCACGTGCAGCCTGCTATACGCTCACTCTGTAAAGTGGGCCCCTAGGACAGAATGTTAGGGTGGGACTGAGACCGGAGGGACAGGTCAGTGCAGGTGAGGTGCACTGTACTGATACCGGAGTGGGCACTGTCCGATGGGCCCGGGTAATGGTAAAATGCCGGAACGGCCAACAGAAATAAACTGCCGGCAGCGGCTGGGCCGGGGGTTGGTTTGTTGAAAACGAAACTGGACCGGGCGGAAAAGAAGCCAGATCCATTATCCTTGCAGAAGATGTCCATTTGTTCTTTGTTCAGGACCAGCCCTTCCTCTTACTCCTTGGCTCCTTGCTCTCCACTCCAGTGGTTATCATAGAACTTACTATGTACTACGTTCCCCTCAAAAAAAAAAAACTTACTATGTACTACGTGATCAGGGTTAGTATGGGGGATGGTCGCAAAATAAATAGGGTTAGTATGGGGGATGTGTTGAAGCTCGGTGCGGGCAGGTTATCAAATGTGATGGACGCCTTTTCTCATACGGAAATGGTTGTCTTTTTATCAGAACAGCGGATGAGCGAGAACAACCAACATTTGCTCACTAATTGCATGTTAGCTCACCAATTTTGATTTAAAATTCTCAGTCCTTTGGGTCTTCAAATTGTGTCTCTCTCCGCAACTCGCCGTCCTTTGCGAAATGGTGGAGAAAAAAATGATCAAGAAGACGCAGAAGAAAAATGGAAGGGGACGGATTTACTCATCATCCTTGCAGCTTAGATGTTATGGAGGCACAGAAACTCTTGTGTCTTTGATGGTCAAAGTCCAGGCATCATCTCCCTCCACCGAGCATTCAAAGAAGAGCATCATTTGTGGTGTCTAGCTAGCGTGCCCTTGGCCTTTGTAACACGGTGACAAGCTTGGTTAAATTAGCCTCGCTTGTCCTAGTCCCCCTGACTTTTCTTACCCCTCAGTCCGAAGTGAGGTGGTGATCTTTGTATGTGACCAGATTTTTCATTTGTTAGTTTAAAAAAACCCTCTGTTAATACAAAGATACGTAACTTTCCTGCGTATTCTAGAAAAAAATACGAATGAAATGTGAATTCAGTGTGCGGCAACTGAAACATACACCATGTCGTTAAAGATGGCAACGAATGCAGATTGCTTTTGAGTATCAGCAATGGTTGGCCTCATACATGAAGCTAAGGCACTTTTGTATGTGTCCGGCAACGTTGAGATGTTTTCCTTTAACTATTGCCCCCGAACTTGTAATAAAGTAGCTCATGAGCTAGCTTCTATTGATCGTAGGTACCCTCAACATACGTAGCTCTCGTGGGACTTTACCGTAAAAAAAATCTACTACATACTCTAGTACCAATACACCATGACTAAGACTAACAACCAGTCCTATTAACTCCTATTCGTAGACTAATGAACTAACAACTAGTGCTATTATTAACTCCTATAGTGAACTAATGGAGTAACAACTAGTCCATGCTCCATGACCAGTAGTGCTTGTTTTAGGGATCCTAACGGTGCCTAGTAGCTATTTTTGACTAATTAGTTGGTGTTTAAACGAGCAATACTAATGAGGCAGTGACAGTGAGACACTATCCCAGGTCCTAGCTTCCTTTGTAGAGCGGGCACATTAGAGAAACACACGCTAATGTGACTAGGGAACAGTTACCGGTTGCTACTTGACACGAGCAATATAGAAGAGTTTACGTACATGCGAAACACGAAATAACTTCGGGAACAGAAATAATGACTCGATCTTTATTACAAACTGGTGCGTACTGATGACAAATTAAAAGGTGGCTGGAGGCTGATGAGCACACTAAAACGCTAGACGCTGGTGAGGCCGGAGCCCTGGAACTTGGAGCGGGTGATGGCGTCAATGCGCTGCGCTGTCCCCTACCACGCCGCGCCGGAAGAAGAGGCTGTTGTCCACCGCGCCGACCACCAACTCCGTCTTACCATCTTTGGTCGCCCTCAGCTCGTTCATGCGCTCGAACGCGCATATATAGCCTAACGATGGCGTCCGCGGTGCTGTCCGCGCCGGCACCGAACGGGAGGCCAACGAATTCTGCAAGCCTCCGGACGTGCGCCGCGGGGTCCCTCTGCATCTCCTCGTAGCTGAAGAAGAGCACCTGCTCGGGCCGCGCGAGGTGGGTGCGCGGCCAGTACCCGAGCACGTGCTCCCAGTACGGGCCCCGCGGCGACACGCCGGCGCAGAACTGCTCGGCGGCGAACTCGACCGAGAGGGGCTCCATCCCTTTCTGTGCCCTGAGCTGCTTGTTCATGAAGTGCCACAGCGAGACGAACGTGTCCTTCGGGTCGCGGTATACGTAGACTATCTTGCAGCCCGGCGTGGCGTCGACGGACCTCGGCAGCGCCACGAACGGGACGTGCGTGGCGAAGAGCCTTGGGTCCGGAAGCTTTCCGAGGTCCGGGATGCGACCGCTCTTGTAGTTGTAGAGCTGTAACTCCAAGAACGGGATGCACTTGTGGGGGCCGAGGGTGTGGAAAGGGTGGTCGGCGGCGTCCGGGGAGACGGGGAGTGCTGTCCCCGGTGCACGGTGGCGTAGAGGAGTGCTTTGATCCACGTCGTGCCAGACTTGGGCAAGGTGGCGACCATGATGTCCGTGGGCCGCGCGGAGAAGCAGGCGCCGGCGACAATGGAGGCGACCATGGCCCCCTGGGTGGCGTGCCAGCCTTGGCCGTGGAGGAAGAGCTGACTGTGGCCCAGGCCATTCGAGCTCGGCAGGGAGGAGACCAGATTGGTGAAATGATTGTAGAGTTGTAGGTTGGCTTCCGCTTGCGCATCGCTGGCATCGGCATCTTGCTCGGCAACGCTTTGCAGTAGCAGCGGAGTATATATATAATAATATAGTGGGAGCATATGCCTTCACTAGCCCTCAAATCAGAGCCCCCGATTTGAAGGTTTTCTCTCATTGTTTTGAGGATCTGATTTTACCTCTCTAATCCAACAATAGCACGTAGAACAGAGTCCTCAGAGTCACTGACCACAAATTCTCAGTGCTCTTCTATCTGAGCTATCTCACTGAACGTAGAGGGACGGGAGTTGTTGGCCGGCGGAGCAACCTCTCGTCGGGGCGCCGTGGCCGGCGGAGCGACTTCGCCGGGGCACAGAAGGAGTTAGGAGGCCGGACGCGGCGATGGGATCCGGATCTGAGGTATGCTCGCACACGTGGAGATCGCGCGAGGCTCCTCCAGCGACCGCCCGCGGCTTCTTCTCGATGGGAGTGAGGAGCGACGAGGAAGACAGAAGCGACGAGGCGGCCGTTCGCGTCTTCTTCTCGATGGGAGTTGGGAGGGAGGAGCGGGGACGCCTAGGTGCCGACCCGATGGCAGCAATCCTTGCGCCGACCCCCTTCTCGCAGAAAAATAATTTCTCGCCTTCCTCATCCGCAGTCGTTTCTGCGTATGGCCCGTTTCCGCGTGCATGGCCCACCCCCGCACGCGCGTTCCCGCTTTTCTTTCCAGAACTATACAATACAGGTATGTTTTAGCGAAAAAATATATATAGATTTTTTTTATCTCTCTCACTCTCTCTTTCTCACCGGTGACCACCGGCGCCAGCAACCAGCGAGCTCGCCCCGCCGCCCGCGCAGGCCATGGCAGTGGCGGTGGCGGCGGCGGATTTGTGATTTGTCCTTTTATAGAAAAAAAAAATTGTGATATGCGATCTGTGGGAGGCTGGAGATAGAAGAAAAGTGAAGGCTATTGGATGTTAATCTTATGGCGCAAAAAAATTCATATGTTGAAACCGCATAAAATACATACATATAGTTGGGTAATACACAGACGCCTTTTCTGTTTGGTTGTTTCGCGTGCTCATCCAGAATCAGCAGCTTTGTCCAGAGCTTTGACCAGAAACAGTAGCTCCTAAACCATCAAATATAAAATACTATCTTATGCTTTTTAAGTAAAAAAGAGTCATATCTCCTAAACCAAACCAAGTATCCTAATTAAAATCCGATTATACCATCATGTTCTTTGCAAATATTTCAAAAAAAATTAACAAGCATTTATCTCATGATGAAAAATCATCGAACATCACATTAACACTACACAAACATCGTCAGAAAATAGCATAGAACATCATATGTATATGATGCGAACATCATATATCATCAAATATAAAAAAAAAAAAAAATAGTGAAGTAATTAATTATAGTCAAATAAAAAAATGCTATCGATGTCACAAATACATCGTAGAATATCACATTAAGACTACACAAACATCGCTAAATATAGCATAGAACATCATACATATACTACGTGAATATCACAAATATATCATAGAACATCATATTAAGACTATGCGAACATCGCTAAATATAGCATATAACATCATATGTATACTAGAACATCACATTAAGACTACCCGAATATCGATAAATATAGCAATTAATTAGAGTCAAATAAAAAGAAAAAAAAATTCTACCGAACATCAAAAAAAGATGTCAAGAACATCGATGTATGTTTATTGAACATCATAAAATACATTGTAGAACATCATATTTCTACTCGCGGACATAAAAAATACATCATAGAAAATTACATGTATACTACATGAACATCGCATGTATCTATAAATAAAAAAAGTGAAACATAATATTATAAATAAAAAAAGAAAAAAAGAAAAAATAAATACGAAAATAGAAAATGAAATAATAGAAATTAAAAGTTAAATATTAAAATATAAAGATAAGAAAACAAAAAAGAAAGAAAAATAAAAAACTAAATAGAAGCAAGTGAGGAACATAAAAGAAAAATTAAAAGGAAATAAAAATTAATAGAGTAAAATAAAAATAATAAAAGAATAAATAAAACGAAAAGAATGACAAAAGCCGATGAAAAAAGAAAAGGAAAATAAATGAATGAAAGAAAAGAAAGAAGAAAAGAAAAGCATAAAAATGAAAATAGAAACAACAAACAAAAAGAATAATAAAAAGACCACCGAAAAGAAAAAGGAAAAAGAAATGAAAGGAAGAAAGAAAAAGAAAACATAGAATAAAAAAGAAATGAAAATAGAAAAGAAAAAGGAAAAAAGAAACAGAAAAAGGAAAAACTACCTGCCTAGAATCACATAACAGACTTAGAGGAAGTGCTCGATGTCTCGCGAATGCGCGTGGGCCATCCGCTCTTTGTGGGCCGCCATCGCGTTAATTAATCTGATGTGCGGAGGGGGGAGGGGGTCGGCACGAGGAACCCGTCCAACTAGTCGATAGCGACGGGTTTCGGGGAGGAGCGGCTCCTTCTCTGGTGGCCGTTCACGTCATCTTCTCCGTGGGAGAGAGGAGCGACGAGGCGGCCGCGGCTGCTTCTCCGCGGCAGAGGAGCGGTGAGGGGAGGAGGTGGCCATGGCGGGAGTAGAGGCCCGGGGAGGGGTGGATGTGGAGCGACACGCGAGCCAAATGTAAAACCATCGAGTAGGGGCTCCCTCCAAAGCCCCCAAATCGAGGATCGAGGGCCTTGGGGGTGAGATCTGAGGGCCTCCTACTTTTGAGGGCTAAAGTAGAGGTCCTGCTGGAGTGAGTTTTTCTTGTCTCAACCTTAAAATAGGATAAAGGCCTGAGTAAGGGCTCTACTGGAGTTGCTCTAAGCATATAAGATTTGCTCAAGGCTAATATGTAGTTTAGGTTTTTTTTTGGAAACTACACACATAGAGATCAGATCAGGATCATTATTGATTATAGAAAAACAATGTGAGCTTGATTTGCCCAGCGATATGTATCGGTTTAGGTTTCTTTTTTTTTGGGAAACGAGATACATGTGTCTATGGTCCTAGTTCGTTTTTCTGAAAAGCCATGACTGAAAGTATTGTTCGCTGATTTATTGTAAGAGAAAAAACATTGTTCATTCACTAAAATAGTACGACTCAAAAGACAAGCGAACATGGCCTGTATTAAAAGCAATTAAGGTTCACAAAGTAAAAGCTGACACTATCGTGTATATATAGTAAGTTAACTGCCAGATTCGTAGAGATCAGATCAGGATCATAATTGATTATAGAAAAACAATGTGAGCTTGATTTGCCCGGCTCCTGCGATTTGTATTAGTTTAGTTTAGTTTAGTTTAGTTCAGTTTAGTTTTTCTTTTTTGAAACGAGATACCTGCGCTGCGCCTATGTTGAAAGCAATTAAGGTTGACAATGTAAAAGCTGGGGTTACCAGCTCACACAGAAAGCACACGTGCAACTGAAAGTTTAGGTTCTTTTATTAAAACACAGTACTCACACATGCAAGCACTCAAAGATGTAAATGCCTACATCCTACACGAGGTTAGGCTATCGAATCTTAATTAACAAAATAACCGTGGACGGTCTCTGTGTGGACACACATGCTGATAGATAAAGTAGAATTTTCTGGTTTATTCTTAATCCATGATGTAGTAACATAAATCATGACAGATAAAGCAATCAAAACACACTAAATCACTTAAAAGATTTATAGCGGTGGCTAGGAACTCTCTATACAGACGGTTGGCCCAACCGCCTCTAACTCTACATCTCTAGATTCATAGAGGCAGCTGTCCTAGCCACCCCTAGAAATATATTTCTAGAGTGCGGTGGGAAAAAGAGTTATCTCTATAAAAGCTTTCATTCTTAGTCATTACATGTTTTTTTTTGCTTTAATGGATCTATTCACTTCATCACGGAAATGTGGTTTTCATCGTGTTGAAACATACATCCACGGATTCCTGTCCATCTTTTATGACATCAAACCCAAAAAAATCCTTAATTGATATAAATAATAACAATAACTAGTATACAAAATGATCCCTAATGAATCAATTATTTAATATTCACTTTGCCGCGTTGGGAGAAGGCACGGCACATGCGAGTATCTGTAGAGGGCAGGGGTATTTTAGTCTCCCTAGAAACAATTTGACCCGATCAACACAATCATCTACCATATACCTAGCCTAAATGAATGGCAGTGTCATCTAGAGAAGAAAATTTCAACTTAGTGCTAGAAAAAAAAATTTATTTTTTAATGCCAAATAAAAAGACCGATTTATTTTAGTGTCAAATACATAATTCTTGCTCGCCGGCAATTCATGCCTGTGACGAATGCTACCATTGTTCAATTTTGCGAGGCAGAGAATTCGATTCTACCCAGCTGCTGCAGAGCTGCTGGCAGTGGCAAGCGTCAGCAAGACAGCAACGACATGGCTTACCACCGCATGCGTGACCAGTCTTTCTCTACTCCAGCAAATCGCCTGCTCTCGCCAAAAATTTACGCACCGGTCTCAGATATCCTTTTTTTTTAGGGAAACAGCGATTTCCATTACTCAACGGGTGCTGAATCGTCAGCAATTACAGACTGAATTTGAACCGGAACAGAGACCAGAGTTGGATCCTCATCCGATATATTACCTGGGACAGCCAATTCAAGCGCTACCCTATTACACGTTCGTGGTCTGGTACGGCATCGCCGTCATATCACAAATTCTCTTGCGTAGCGCACAATTATAAATAATTAGTAGTAGTTATCGTCCCATAACTTAGCATGTTTGGTTTGCGTCATAAAGCCATGCAGAATTATCCGATCTACCAAACCTAGCCTAGCCATTTGGTTTGCGTCGTGTCATCAACTCGTCCAGCATGAAATAGTTCCCTGTAGCGATTGAATATAACTAGGGCCCTGTTTGTTTCCGCTTATAAGCAGCTTGTCGGTGAAAATAAGTGAGAATTCCGCCAAACGCTTTGTTTATTTCCACCGATTCTCGCTTATGTGGTATGCCGCTTCATAGATTTGAACCACGAGAAACGAAAAGCAAGAAGCGAGAAAATCTTCGCTTAAATTATAATTCAAGCGTGGCCAGAAGAAGTGGAAACAAACGGACCCTATGGATGGGGACGAGGTGATTCTGCGATAAAGTGCCAGACGATTGAACCTTTAAGCAACCTAGTTTATCATGTACTCCTGGAAGCCTACTTTAGCGTGATTGGTCATGGCATTTTTGTCCTAGACATGGATTGCGAGGTAGTCTTCGATTAACCGTCAACATTATTCCCATCAGCTGTGCAGACGGATCTTTGGCAGAAATTCAAGATTCTCTTTCCAATCTCAGAGTTCCCGTGTAAATACTTGGGCCTACCATTATCTAATAAGAAGCTTCTTAAGAGGGATCTTATGCCATGGATTGAGAAAATCGCTGACAAACTCCCTGGAAGGCGGCTCTCATGAACAGGCTGGACGTGCCACGTTAGTCCGGTTTGTTCTCTCAGCCATGCCTATTTATTTGTTAATTGCCATCAGCATCCTGAAGGTGGTTCATTCAAGGCGGTGAATAAAATCAGAAAGGTTTTTTTTATGGCAGGGAAAGGAAAAGGCTAATGGAGGTTGTTATCTAGTGGCTTGGGAGAAGGTCATGAGACTGTTGGATCTTGGTGGATTAGGCATCCCCAACTTGGAAGTGATGGTCTGGGCTTTGCAAATCAGGTGGCAGTGGTTTAAAAAGACCAAAGCTGATCGTCCATGGGTTGATCTGGAACTTCCCTCGCACCCCAACTCGATAGCTCTGTTTACCATCGCAGTCGGGGTAGGGAATGGACACAATACTCTTTTCTGGACTGATCGGTGGCTGCACGGGTGTTTGATTGAGGCCTTGTTTAGATCACCTCCAAATTCCAAGTTTTTTCACTCTCTCTCCATCACATCAATATTTGGACGCATGCATGGAGCATTAAATGTAGATAAAAAAAATAACTAATTGCACAGTTTGGTTGTAAATCACAAGACGAATCTTTTGAGCCTAGTTAGTCCATGATCCGACAGAGTTTGTCAAATACAAACGAAACGTGCTACAGTATCCAGATTGTAAAAATTTGCAATCTAAACCAGGCCTGAGAATCTTGCGCCAGCTGTCTTTGCATGTCTCTCTCCAAGAATTCGCAAAAGCCGGACTGTGGCTGAAGCTCTCACCAACATGGAGTGCCCAAGAGATATTCATGGAGGTCTATCCTTGGCTAGTATTAGAGAATTCCTACAGCTATGGGATTGCCTCTTGGAAATTATTTTAACTGACCAAGAGGATCGTCATACGTGGAGGCTTGATACAAGTGGATGTAACTCTTCCAAATCTGCATATAAAGCTTTTTTCTATGGTGCTGTGACCTTTGAGCCTTGGTGTCGACTATGAAAGACTTGGGCCCCTGCCAAATGTAAAATGTTTTTGTGGTTGGCAATCCAAAATAGATGTTGGACGACAGATAGGCTTGCTAAGAGGGGCCTCTCTCATCCGAATAAATGCCCGCTATGTGATCAAGAAATGAGACAATACAACATCTTTTAACAACATGCGTGGTGGCAAGACAAGTTTGGTTCAGATTATTTACTCCACTAAACCTAGCAGATTTAGTTCCTCGACAAAATAAACTGAGCTTTGCTGACTGGTGGCGCACAATGATGAACAGAGTTAGCAAGGAGCATAGGAAAGGAGTGAACATTTTAATTATTTTAGGGGATTGGATTATTTGAAAACATAGGAATACATGTGTTTTTGAGGGGGCTTCTCCTTCGCTTAACATGATTTTGAGTGAGCCAAAGAATGAGCACAGCCTCTAGCGCATGGCTAGGGCAAGAGAATTACAGGGGTTAGGTCTCACGCTTGAAGACTGGGGTCTTTTTGAGTTAAGATCGAGTCATATTGTCCGCTATGTGTTTAAGGGTCTGTTTGGTTTCCATGGACTAAAGCATTTTGGACTAAAATTTGCATTTTAGTTGGACTAAACAGCCAAACACTTTGACTAAAAGTGGACTAAAGTCTTTATTAGTCCACGCTAAAATGGACTAAATGTGTTTGAAAGACACCCATGCCTCTCATTTATTGCCCTCTCTCTCCACTTTAGTCCATTTTAGTTCAAGAAACCAAACACCACTTTAGTCCACTTTTAGTTCACGACTAAAATAGACTAAAACTTTTCATCCATGAATTTGGTCCCTAAATACCCCATCTATATAATACAATTTGTTTCCCAGATGACTGAGGATCCTCCTGTTGGAGACCCCCTATTATGCTCTTGTAGAACATTATAGAGTTTGGAGGTGCTTCCAAGATTATCCTACCATCTCGATGTAATAATCTTTGATTTTTTTGAAAAAAAAAAGAAACTTTATCGCGGAAATGATCTTCCCGTGACCAAGATGAACAGCAGAATATTCATGAGATCCAAACTCCAGAACACTGCTACAACTGTAATCTCTTTTTTTCCAACTATAATCTTTGCAATTTACAATATGGTGATGATCCATATGAGAAAAGGCGACACAATGGACAACTCGTAGATGTGGAAAACCTTTTCCAAACGCTTTAACTGCTTAATGACCACGAGCTTTTTCCAAAAGCAGCTCGGGGACCTGACCAGGGGCATCCGACCCCTTCACTACAATATAATAATAATAACATAGATTGCGGACCCTTCGCCCAAAAAATTGGGAGAGGATTGAGGAAAGAACCAATCAATCAAACCAAAGACAAAATACAACAAACAATTACCCTGACCAGAGAGCAAAAGGCATGAGCGTATGTACATGAGTTATGCACAGGTTGAGCGGAGAAAAGAATGTAGAAAGAGACTTGCAGCTGGAAGGACCACCATGTCAGTCCTTTCTTTGGTGTAGGAAGGTAAAGCCAGAATTCTCCCGGATCAAAGGTGGCATGTCGACATCTGTTACCTCGATTTCTGTCATCGACTTCGAGATGTCATCCACCGAAAATGGAATGCTGTGATTAGGAGTACACTGTCAGGCAACGGGCTTAAGTAACTGTAGTCAACAATATATCTGAGTAGGAGTAAGGTAAATAATAACCTGGAATCATCATCCAACAAGAACGAACTGCTCACTGCATTATTAGAATCTTCCGTCATCATTACTCTCATACTTGAGATGACCTAACATCAATTTGTTTTTCATCAGAAACCAAATAGCGCCATATCTTGGCACAATAGCATAGGAAATTTGAGCTGAGTAACAACTAAATCAAGTAGAACAAAGCTTACATCTGATGAAACAGTGTGGGTACCATACTTATCATCCCAGTACATTGTACTGATTCGATATAGCTGTTGTATGCTAAGGACCTGAAATTAACAAAACATGTGACAAGCTGTTAAGCCATAACTTACAAATGTTGATGAGTAGCTGAAGTTAACTGAGTTCAGAGATACTTACAGGGCACAAATCGTTGGTAATTTCTTTCAATGTTTTCTTTGGCTTTTGATGAATTACCTATAATATAAACTGTTAGAATATCTATTTTTCAATATAGAAAGTTACAAATAAAATAAAACATCCAATCAGCATAGAATACATACAAGGAATCCAACAGCCTGCCTAATATGTTTTAATTCTTCCCAGGAAGAACCTGCATACTGTCCGTGAAACATAACATTAGCATATAAATTTAATATTGTCCAAAGTAAAAAAAAAAATAAGTCTTTACCTCTTCAGTTGCATAAATGCACCACTGCTCTAATTCTGCCAATCCAGTTTTCACATATTCTCCATTGCTAAATGAACAGCACTCCCGGCGAAGAAGAAGACTACAATACAAGGACTTTCTTTTAAAACCAGAAAGAGAACTTAATGTAGCACAGATAGAGCAACTATGAATCATACCTATTAAACAACTGAACATTAATAAATGAGAAGATTTGAGTGAACACTTTGCTGATTAAGAATGACGGGACCTGTCAATATCAATGAGAGTCATATCAATGCAAATTCTTTTTTAAAAAAAAAGGGATGTGAGTCATGTTAATGCATATTTTTAGGTAACACATACATAATTTGCTTTTAAAACATTCAAGTAATTTGTCAATATTTTCACAATGCTCTGCCAGTGGGCGATCAGAGTTTGCTGAGCTAAGGCATTTGCTTGGGAACGTGATCCTTTAATTAGACTTGCACGGGATGTTCTTGGTGCCTGAAAAATTAAAAAAATCAAGTAAAAAAAATAAACCATGGTGTCGACTCCGTAAATAACAAATAGTATAGCGACAATCATTGATACCTGGATGCAAAGGCCAAGCAAAGGAGATATCTCCTTCTTCAAATTGTCTCTTATCATTCCATAGATCTTCTCAAGGAAAGCTGTAAGCTGTTGCTTGAACAGCAGGGCTGGGTACTTGGCTTCAACTTGACGAAGGTCACCTAGCCCTCCAATCAAGCGACTTCCCAGAAAAGCACGCCCAGCACTTTGTGGTGAGGCTCGCATCCCCTTTATATTTCGGAAAAAGTGAATTAAGCATTTTTGCTGACTAGAAAACTAGAATGCCAAGTAAAAAACCGGGGTGAAGAAAAATGTTTTACCAAAAACACCCTCCCAAAAGATGCAGCAGATGACCTGCGCCTTTGAGGAGTGAATCCAGCTGCTCCAGTTGTTTTCAGTGTTCGTTGTAGCAGCAGCAGTAATGTGGATGAATTCGAGAGCCAATATGCCAACTTGTCGTTGTTGTCCTGGGACTTTGGAATGACAGAATTTGAACTTAAATATATAGCAACAGCACAAAACATCAACTATAAAGAATGAACTTTTACTCCATTGTTCCTGTGGTATTCAAAATTTTTAATATGGACTATAGCTACATTTACATGGTTCCAGTGGTATCACGAAGGCATAATATACCAGTTCAATAGTAGTATACTAGGCAATCAAATTGTGAAGCATAGTTCTCCAAGAAAAAGGGAGTAAAGTCAAACAAACAAGCACAGTTCATTACCTCAATCGCAGAGCCAATTGTTTGTATAATACGGTCAAAAACACCAGTTCTTTCAACTTCAAATGATCTCCAGTGTAGAAGACACCTGTAGATAAGGCAAGCTGCAATAGGTTTGCCACTGGAGAATCCCAGATCTTGTGATACACACTTGATCAGCAGGTCTTGATTTTCCTGAAGCACAAAATTCATATATGATGAAGAGAAATCACAACTGATATAACTTCAGGATCAAACCAAAGTAAGTGCATGGTTTTAGGGAACCAAGGTAGAACGAATAGAGGAGTAATCACAAATAGCAAACCTGCTGCTTCTCATTAAGTGATTTTTGTGGCTTCTCTTCAGCCTCAAGCTCCTTGGGGTTTGGTGAGATAGGGGTGACATCCTATGTAAATATTTGAGCACATAAAAAGGTTATCAGTTAATACCAGTTACTTCAGATTTGTATGTGAAATGTTTTTTACACCGTTCTTTTCACTTACTGGTGATGACTTCACTTCTCCGTTTAGAGCATTCCCGTTCTCCGGAGTTTTCAGCTAACAAAGTAGCATTAGTTTAAAATATTATGTCACTGCAACAAAAGTAAGTATAAATGTACAGAATGCCTGTAGTATGAAGGAACCTGGCATACCTGGAAAGGAGACTTAGGATATGCAGCTAATGACTTTGCCGTAGGAGAAATTGCAACAGCCTGTTGACGGAGCACTTTGTTCTCAGATTCCATGTTGGTTGCTTTCTCCTCCAGCCTGTTTAATTCAACGCAAAAATATATATGGTATTTATTCTTAACGAAAACAGTGTGACAAATCATATTAGATAGGTGAGACTAATTAAATACACCCTCTATTCCAAATTATAAGATGTTTTGGCTTTTCTAGATACATTGTTTTTACTATGCATCTAGACTATATAGTGTATATATAGGTACAAAGCAAAAGCTATGTACCTAGAAAAGCCAAAATGTCTTATAATATGGAATGAGAGAGTACATTCTAAAGCTTTATTTATGTTATACCTCTGGACAGTGTCCTGAAGTTGCTCAATCTTTTTCTCTGCACTCTCAAACTTCTTAATTAGTTCTTCATTTCTCCGTTCAGATTCAGCATGTTCTCTTTTTGCAGCTTCTGTTGCTTGCCTTTCAGTTAGCAGCAAAGCCTGCAATAATAATAAAAAAAGGTATAACTTCAACTAGATCATGAAACAAGCATATGTTTTCAAATTCCAAGCACAAAGCATCCTTTAGTTCAATCATTATCTTATTCTGAACATTTCACAAATTGTGAAACGGAGATGATTGACATTTTATTCATATGATCGTTATCTTATTCTAGATATTTCACAAACTATGAAACAGAGATGATTAACAGCGTTTTATTCATATGATAAGCACCAAGTGATCCAAAGGAATCTACTGTAAATTGTCAATGAAAAATGTCACAAAGAAAGATCAGCTGCCACCATACCTTTAGTTGTTCAACTTCGGCCGTCAGTGAGTTAATATTTTCCGTGTCTTCGACTAGCACAGGAGTCTCTTTGATTACTGGAGGTGCTTCTTCAATTGCCTTTCTAGCAACTTCCCTCTCCTTAACCACCATGGCCTTTGATTCTTCAACTTGAAGCTGCATATCATGCAATGTCTCTTGCAGCTTAGCAATTTCCTGGGCTTTTGCTTCCTCAAGATCAGTCTGCAAATTAAAAACATAAGAATAGGCCCACAATTACCAAATTTAAACCAGTGTCAAGATAAGAAGAGAAATAAAGGAAGTGCAGGTACACTACCCTTAATCGCTTCTCCAATCCTAAGCGCCAGGTTAGTTCTTCAACACGCTTCTCAAGTTTATCCTTGGCCTCTTTAAGGGCCCCTGTCTCTCTTGCGGCCTGCAGATGGTTCATCAAATAAAGTGTTGAAGTCTGTGCCATAGTATGAAAAACTGGAGAACCGCATAAGGTAAGAGTTAACGATATACCATCTTGAGCTTCCTGAGCTCTCTTCTCGCAAGCCTTTGCCTCCAGGCACACTGGTAAGTAAGAGCTGCTCCTTGCAGATTCTTGTAATGTGAGTAGTCTCTGTGGCGGCGCCACTGAGCCTGTGTTCGAAATAGCATGTCGATCAAATAATCATTAAACGAAAAGAAATATTGCAGAAGGAAACAGTACTGCAAAAATTCTGAAATTTGAATAGCAGCTTAATTAAAAAGATCATACTTGGATGTGGACAGCTGCTTTCGTTTCCTTTCTGAACCTGAATTCTTTGCGAGCAGACATTGCCCTTAAGCCTGTCTGCAGTGTGATTGCAGCTGCTTGCAGTTGTAAATAAGATTCTCGTGCTTTGTGGCATCGCATATTCTTTTGTATTTTCAATGCTGCTGCTTCCTTCCTCATGCACTCATACAACTTACGGGCCAAGGTTCCTGGATTTCAAGAGGAAAAATGATAGGTGTGAAGTCAGAAGAATGCCTCCAAAGTCACATGCATTCAACAGTGTATATACTTGAGAAGAGAAAATCAACATCAGCAATACTTCTGCCTAACACTTCAACATAGAGAGAGGAAACAGTACCTCTGACAAAAGATTGTAGCTGCATTGCTGATCTTTTAAGATCGGCAAACTGTTTCCTTGCAATATATGTACATATTTGCCTCTGTATGATTCTTGCTGCTCTTCCTAATACTTCAGCTCTACGAGCATCCAAATCAGCCATCTGTCCAGCTCTCAGAAACACCTTTGTTTTTCCAATCTTCAAAAAAATCAGGTAAGAAAAATTATAGTTCAGATCACTGAAATACTATGTTGTCATTAGATGCCTTGTATTAGGTTCCAATGCTATATGAAAGAACAACATGAAAAATTCAGCAGTTATGGGATCACAGTAGCAGTTCCATGTGTTACCTGGTAATTCTCCAGACCCACTTTTTCCAAAATCTTTTGGCACGCAATCTTATCATCATTGCTAAGCACAACAATACAAAGGAAAAAAAAACAAAATGCAAATGAATAGATTGAAATGCCAAAAATAAATGCAGAAAATGGGCAGAAAAGTCCATTTGCATTCTTTGTGGATTTCCTACCTCCCTTCTAAAACTTCAGGAGCAAGGACACCAAATCGATTGACAAATTCATAAAATGTTTTTCTTGTGGGGTATCCAGCACAGCTGATCCTGATAGCTTCAAGAACACCCTGTGGTACATCTTAGTTCAGCTGACGCTAACGACAACAATTACGCTGATAAGAGTTTAAGAATCTTACTCCACATCTTAGTTGTTGTATAACATTTGTATTCTCAAAAATGGCTGGCTTAAGGAGATTATTTGGCTTCACACATCTAATATAGTGGGGTTCGGTAGAGCTCAAAGTTTCCATGAGAGATTGAAGTTGCAGCTGAAAATTGTACAAGAATATCAGTTATCAACAATAAATAGGTAGAGAAAACATTAAGGAGAACGAACAAGCTTGCTTTCCTATTTTGATGTACCAGAACATAAAAAAAAAATTGTATTGGTTACATGCTTACCATAGGTAAAACCAACAAAAATTCAAAAAGGGTAAAGCACTCATTATAGTCATGATGGCATGCTAAATTTTATCTCCACACTACTATGTCACTAGTAGCACAGAGAGAAACCATGTACATACCTGTATACACCATCTGGGAGGAAGCACAACTTTCCAAAAACATCATTGTAGTGACACAGATGTATGCATACCAAAGGAAGCATACAGACACATGCCTTAAGTTGGACCATGGTGCATTTTAAAAAGGCTTTATCAACTTATATCTTTTATCCACATATCAGGCACAATGTCACAAGGTAAAACGGCATGCATTTCAAACATTCTTTTCATATAGACCACCTCATGCAAATACAATGGCACACATTGCGGAATCATATTCAGTAGCATCAGACAAGATTATAGGAAAAAAAAATAGAGATGGTGATCTAAAGACAAAGTTAGTGCAGAGTTTATTAGTCAGTAAACATAGTCATGTTTGGAAAAAAAAAATAGTGTGACTAAGGAACAATAAGCCTACCCCAACTTGTTTGGGACTTAAAGGCTTTGTTGTTGTTGTTGTAAGGAACAATAAGCAGATTTTGATAGGGATGGTGATGTGAACTTCAGAATGAAGCACAAAGAAGAATAAGACTATTATCTAATTCCAATCTACATTATAAATTCTCAAACCAATGCCCAGATTCCCTTCAAGCTAAACTTTCAGCTAAGGCAGTATGATCTTTTGTGCATTTTCAGTCTTGAAAAAAATGTGGGATCAGCATCCAGCCCAAGTAGTTCAACAAGCTGACCAGGTGCGATGTACTATTGTACACTACTACATTGTGAATAAACACCATCAAAAGCAGGCTGAAACCACAACGAAGAGAGGAACTTGCATTTAATTTCGGTCTAGATGAAGGAGGCCCCCAAAATAAAAGCATGCCTGGGATTTGGTCCACTCTAGCTAACAGCATATCGAATTGTCTGCAATAAAATGCCATCAGGTGCCATGCTAAGCATGTCAAAAGCTGCCTCAAGCCCTCAACTGTTTATGTATTGGGGAACGTTGAATAGGGAAAATGACACTGACATAGATCAAAGCCTAATATGTGGAATCAGGTTCCAGGCATGGATTGAAGTGACAGAAACACGGATAGCATGTTTCAACATTGGCACCAAATGTTCTTTTAAGGGCAAAAATATGCAATGGGGAATATATATGTTTTTTACAACTGATGCTTCCAAGAATACAGATGAGGAAATGATAGCTACTAAAGAAACCTATTATTGATATGGTGAAAACGTAAAGTGCAATGTTTTGAATAAGCATACTGTGCAATTGGATTAAAAAAATAGAACAGAATTTCACACCTTAAAACGTGATCCAATGGATGAAAATTTTGAAGACTTTGCTGTCTCCTGTGGGAGAGGAGGGAATAAACCAGCTACGAATGGGCATGAAGAAGCATTCAGCAGATCCTGATGTTCAGCCACTACATAATCTTTGTTCTTGTCTAAGAAATAATCAGCCTGGTATGTCACCTGTGGATGGTACCAAAAAATATCTCGGTAAGATACTCACAACTTTTCACCAAGAATATGCATATCCTTTTATGAAGAAGACTTACATCGCCAGCATAATGGACTACTGTAAAATCAGTGCGTGAAAGCTTTGGCTTGAAAAACCGCTTGTTATTCTTAAATGTTGTATATAGCTTCTGTGCAAACGTCTCATGTGTTGATCTAGGAAACATACTGCACAGAATTTTTTAGGGAAAGAAGTCATCAAATTGCAAGCAATCAGATAACAGTGAATTGAAATAACTAACAACTAGTTGCCATAGTAATTGAAGAACTACGCCGCTTGCAAGTGGGAATTCCCAAAACATACCATGCTTCATCCAGAAGTGCAATCAATCCACCTTTCTGAAAACATGGGAATAAATGTTACTAGTGCCATACATAGTTCTAAGACAATTTGAAATAACACTGTTTCTCTCAGAAATTTCATTACCAAATACTTAAAATTTTGTAGGGAAATATAAAAGCATAAAAAATTGAGTTTTCAGCTGTAGACCCCAAGTCTTGCACTTTTTAGTATCTATACTCTTTCAAAAGGTGATATGTTATGACAATCTTGCTCTTTTTTTTTTTTTTTTTTTTTTTTTTTTTTTGCAAACCAACAACCTTGCATTTGGTGTGCCATGTCATAGTATGTAGTGTGTACCTTCTCTATCAAGTCTAGCACATCTTGATTATCAACAAACTCGATGTAACTCCAGTTTATTTCTTCTCTGGTATACTCTTCTTGTTCCATTTTGAACACATGCTGCATGACAAATGCCACATATTTACTTTAGGTCGGGAATCTCAAGAATAAAGTGATGTCATCGTCTCATCGAGAGTAAAGTCATGACATACCTGGTTAAAATGTTGTTGCAGCTTTTCATTTGTATAATTGATACATAGCTGTTCAAAACTGTTCAATAATTCAATTCAACAGCTCTGTTTAAGTTGATTCTATTATGCGGATGTTTTATCTAGTTCAGAAGAGTTACAAAACACTAACCTGTTAACTTTGAAGCTCTCAAAACCATAGATATCAAGAACTCCAATTAATTGTTTTGAGTTTGGATCCTGTCCAATTGAGACATTAATTTTTTCCACAATCCTGTGCACAAGATCGCAGTAATAACAGATGTCAGGCTATGAACACTGGAATCTAACTGTGATTTTCTAGACAGGTGAGGAAGGGTCATTACCAATCGAACAATCGAGAGTATATTATTTTAGCTAATGCATCTCTGCTAGCAACTGCAGAAGCAGGATCAAGTGTTCTAGTGATAACTTCTTCAGGCGTGACTATAACTCGTGTTATCAGTGCCTTTTCCAAATTCTGGCAATCACATCTGCACGAAATTTTAGTGCTTAGCATTTTTGTGATCACACTGAACAGATAAGAAAATCAAGCATTCTATCAAGGAGAAACATGCACTCACTTCAAAAGTTCTGCTGCGGTGTTAAGGTGGAACCTGGACTTATCATCCTTGATTACAGAAGAATCAATTTCCGTTCCCTTGGCAAAATTTATATTTCCAAGATGAAGTACAGCTGCTACAACCCTGAATATAGCTTCCTGTAAGATAAACGAATTATGATGGTTGATATTAATTAATCCTGAAACTAACACTCTAGTAGCTTCAGAATAACAAGACAGACACCTGCTCTTCCTCATTGATTCCAACTATGTCCATTGCTCTTCTTGTTGCTAAATACTCTTCAGCGTCATTGATTCCATCCACCTCAATACAGCTCGACTGGTTGAGGTAATGGAACGATCTAGGATCAGACAGTTTATACCTCTGAGTTTCCTGCAGATTAGAAAGATCCATAGTAAGGTATACACCTTTTTCAACCATGTTGAGTTACATGCCGAAATATCAAGAACCACATAGTATAAGTGATTCAGTTTGAAAATGTACCTCAGGTGCTGCGGCACAAAGGAAATAAAAGCAATGGTAATTTCTTTCTGGGGAATTAATTTGGCACACACGTGATCTTTCCAGCAAGTAAGTTCTGATAGCAGCTCCTGAGATCCGTCCAGTCTTGTCAAATTGGATCTCAACAAACTTGCCAAAGCGACTTTACCGGAAATTGAAAATAAAGGGGAACGTCAAACAACCATTTGATGGTATCCAAAGGGGAGAAACAGAGAGAATAACCAATCAAAGACTTACCTTGAGTTGTTGTTTCGCACAGTTTTAGCATTACCAAAAGCTTCAAGAACTGGGTTGGACTGAAATTATGTATGGTAGAAATATAAGGCAATCAACCAATACATATGTTTTCCATCTAAATGATGCATATAGCAAGCAGATAAATAAATGAGGTTAAATGGTCTTGCCTCTAAAACTTGTTGTTCCACTGTACGTCCTTCTACTCCAGACCGCCCACCTAAGTGCGCTAGATATCTCATAAGCATCTTCGTTGTCTCAGTCTTCCCAGCACCACTTTCACCACTGACCAATATAGAGTTGCTTTTCCCTTCATTTATCATTGCCCTGGTTCACATTGACAGGTTGCACCAGAGTAATGCAGTTATGTAAATTAGTGCATGAATGGCATGTTGCCATATACATAAATAGTATTTATACAACGAGAATGCACCTGTAAGCAACATCTGCGATAGCAAAGACATGGGGACTCAACTCCCCAAAGTCTGCACCCTTGTACTGTTCCATCATGTGGGTATCATAAAGATGTGGCAATCTTTGAAATGGATTTACAGCAATCAAAATGCTGCCTGTGTAAGTCTGAGAGTGCAAATGAATTGTTATCATGAGCAACTTATGCAATTTATTTGGTGTAAGATTTTTTAGGCAAAAAGGGTAACGAGCTCACATATATTTCATTCAGTTCATAGCGGGTAGCAAGATTCTGTAGAACACCAGGTTCATGTAAGTATGAAAGTCTTGTCATATCATCAACTCCTCCTGGTGGAGCTTCCATATCCTTGGGAAAAACTTTTGATCTGTCTGTGGTAACCTGTGCAAAAGCATTACTTTCAGAATCCATTTTCTGTCAAAAGGATACAGCCTATATCCTGAGTCCAGTTGATATAAAATACTGGAACAGAACTGCAGAACTTCCTTTCTAGAATAACACCAATATTCCTATAAGGCAATACTAAGCACAAAAACACCAACATAATTTGAATTCATATTAATAGCAAGATGGAGACCTTATGCAGAACACATGAGCAGAAACAGCAAACGGTACCTTTTTCCCACTCGATGTCTGCACATGTACTTCATTGTTTTTTATGCTAACAACCTCCCCATCTATCCAAGCTAGATTAGGGTCTTCCACCCAAACATGAGAACCAACGATGATATTAACTGGAGTTCCCTGTGAGAGAAATAGTGCAATAATCAATGAAATGTCAAGGAAAACAGAGCTAAGGTTATGTTTAAAACATTGTCTACCTCCCCCCCCTACCCCCCTTGCTTCTCATATCACTATGTTCATGAACTCAACACATTTTGTTGAATTATTATAGATGTGACTTATCGAGTGTGTGATACTGTGATTGAAATTATTTAAGAAACAGTATTCTAACGACACAATGAGTCGGGCTTTGAACCTGGTGAATATGTTTACCAGGCCTCCAAGGTACAGAGGATGAGATTTTGGACAAAAAGAAACCAATTTGTTTCAGAGCATCATTCAGAGGGAAAGAGAGGAAGAAGATGGAGAATCCAACTTCCAGCGGAATGAAGTTACAACAAGGTAAGCAAAGAAATAGCACACAACAACCCCCTAGGCATCTGGCAAACAGCCAGAGCAGACTTACTACCAACAAAACATGTCCTAGGCCTAACAAAATAAACTTTGGGACGCAACAAATTTCATGGAAAAATATTTGTTTTCTTTATCCCCAAACAGATGAAGAGGCTAGATGTTATCTTTTATAGTGATATATAAGAAATAAATTCTGTAGTTCCTCTGTGATGATTGATTTAAACCCTACTTACGCAATATGTTACCCAGCCATGCATGAAAGTAAGAATGGAAATTTGCACTTCCAATTTATGCATCAATTATGTATCTCAACGCTTAACCAAATTCTGAAGTACAACTAGCACAGTGATTAGGTGCACTGCCAGGTATATCCAAAGCATTGCAATTTTCAGTAAAATTACAAGGGTCTCTTATGACTTATAAGGCCCCAAAGAAACAGTTTACTCTAAAGGCGGTATGCAGATTGCTAAGCACTTCGATATTGATAAGTAAATGGACAGCAGGTAGGTAATACAAATACGAACAGCATACTAAATGTAAATGATATATTCTTGAGGCAACCATGCATTAAGTATCAATCAATAAACTTGAGAGATCAGTAAGATTCCAAACCACTAAAAGAATAGAAAATGCAATTTGAGCTATTCAAGTATACAACTTTAAAGCACAAGAACAAGATTCCTGGTATTAAAATTTTAAAATATCATGGCACATAAAATTTATAGCAAGTTCATTCATGAAACTATCAATAACTAATTTAGTCCTTACTGCTGGCTCATCAAAGCATCAATGTTTTCTACAACAACTCTAGTTAGATCTTTAGTAAAGAACATCCTTGATCGCCTACTTGATATAAAACGTCTTTCATACACAACCAACAAGAAATGAGCATACTGACCTATGAAATGTAGTTCTATTTCCAGCCCTAACATCACTGCTAGCAAACTTGAAGAAGCTCATCCAAACTCAAACTAAGGTTTCTTTCGCAGTAGGTCATAAATCAGAGGGGAAGCCTAAATATAATCTTCTTAATATATATGTTATTCTGCATTTATGACATTACTGCTAAATAAACTTCGTTGCAAACAAAAACTAGGCTTCATCTATTAAGTGAAGTAAGAATACCAATACTGCTGCGTGAATACACCACACTGTACAAGAAATCTAATCACGCTGTCTATTCAGGTTCCAAATGAGACAAAAAGGGGTGTGGGGGGCTGGAGGCTTCCTCTTAAATCGGCACGCACAGGAAGTTAGCAAAATCCAAAAATAGCAGCAAAGCTCCTTCTAAAAGCTGCAAGTACTGTACCGAGAGCAGAGCATGCTGTGCAGCAACTCGCATCTCAATTAAGCCATCTGAATTCTGAACCAATACAGAGTCGCGAATCCCAGCGAAACATGATTCGATCAGCAGCCAGGCGAAGCGAAGCACGCCCAGCACACAAGCTAGTAGCAGTAGTTGGGAAAGCAAAGGGCTAAACAAGCAAAGGATCCGGAACAGTACCATGGGCGGATCAGGTTCGGATCGAAGGGGACAACGGATCCGTCGGCTCCAACAGAGGGGAACCCGCCGCCGGCGAGGTCAGTAGCCGGCAAGGCGGCGAATTGGACTATCCCTGCTCGGTTGCCCCACCAACCCCCCAAGCTGCTGCTTGCTGTTGCTTCTCGACTCGACTTCCACCAGTCCTATTTTTTTTACGCTTCTCTTCCGCGCAGTTGCTTCGCAACTGGTCCACCGCACGTGCTGGCTGCCGCCGGCGATGACGGCGCGGCCGGTCGCGACGACGGAGTTGGAGAGAGGGGAGGGGACGGAGGGCAGAAATGGTAATTACGTGCTGCTTAGTTTTCTTGCGGTTTGAAAGAATCTAGGAATTCTGCTCTGGTCCTGAAATGCGCAGTTTCCGGACGGGAGAAGGCATTTAAATAGCTGCACTTTTGCCTCAAGGACCTATAGTTTTGCTGATTTTCAATTACTAGAACATCTTGAGAAATGATATTCAAAGCAGACCAACGTTCTATTTTTTTTCTTTTTCTTCTCTTCCTCTTCCTCCCTTCTTCTCCAACTCCAGACGAACTTAGAAGGGGCTCTAGGAGAGGTAGACCGGCTAAGCAGTGAGATAGCAGGAGGGCGACGATTAGGGTTTTAGCGGTGTAGGAGACGGCTAGGCCAAGTCGGGGCGGAGGCGCCCACGGCCATAGTGGCGGTAGGGTCTCATCGGAGCTCCGCGCCACGGACGCGGAGCTCGAGGACCCTATCGTGCCACACTAGGGTATTGGACGGTGGTGGTGCATCAGGAGGAGGAACAAGGTACGGAGAAAAAAAAATCCAATGTTGGAAGAACCTAAAAAAAATCCAGTGTTTTATTGGAAGAACCAATATTTTATACACGACACTACATTCAAGTCCTCCTGAATTAGTATCAAAAAACAAGACTTGAGAAGAGCTCAGTTTTAGATGGCGATTTCGTATGATCAGACTAGGACCAGGTTGCATATTTTAACATGGCAGACAATATTTTTTCCGCCCCTTGCCCGTGAGGACGGCCCGCCCCTTGCCCGTGAGGACGGCGGCCTTTCGGCCACTAGCCGCTGCCGTTCCGGCTGCGTGCTGCGCTGGTCGTTTCTCACAACGATGACGAAACTGCCCCTCCGGTGTATTGTGTGGCACAGGAAGCATACGCTGTCGCTGGGGAGTCGCACCGTCCTGGACAAGCTGGAGAGCTCGGAGCTGCTTTTGAGGCCAGGATGTCGCAGCCGTCGCGGCGACTTGCCTAGCCTATAGCCCAGCTGTGGGGGCACATAAACACGCCACAATCACGGGTTCACATATTCATATTTAACAATCATGTAAACAGATGCCACCACCGCCCATCCTCCGTGAGATAAAACCCGAAAAAGATCATCAATGATCGAAAGTGCACTAGACGACGGCAACAAGAAAATCAACTTGTGGCTTATTTGGTCCGCGTGCGCACATCTTTAGTCTTGGTCCTGACCAGGACAAAGCTGTCCAGGATGTCGCAGCCGTGTTCTGGCTGTGGGGCCACCACCGCCCACGTGCGCAAAGATATGATTGTGATCGAAAGCACTGCACTAGAAACAAAAGAAATGTTTTTATTTGGTCGCGTGCGTAAATGCCAGGACAAAGGTCCTGTTCTTACTATTTCAACAAATAAATGATGTTTTTCTCTCACAATAAATCAGCGAACAGTACTTTTAGTTATGACTTTTCAGCAAAATGAACAGAACCAAAATGTTCCAAAAGAACAGTGTTGGGTGGTTTACTTCCTGAGTCGGTAAAAAGTAGAATTTAAGTAATAGTCAAACTATTTTAGATCTATATTTATAATATTAAATAAGCATCATTAGAGGAGATATATTTTTTTAGTATACATGTTGTAGATATTGATGCTCTTTTTATAACCTTAAATCTTAATTAAACTTAAGCAAGTTTGACTAGAGATAGAACTAAAATTACATCAATTTTTTTATGGAGGTGGACGGTGCTAGAAACAAATTAGATAATGGACCATTTTTGTAATACCCCATATTTTAGAGATTATTAATCAAGTAAATTAATGGCTATGTCGGATAAATATTTTCAAACTGAATTTAATTATAGTATTTTCTGGAAAAATGACTTGCATATGCATATCCATGCTCCAAAAACTTGAAGCTACAAAGTTTAATCTATTAGAACTATTCATCCAATAGAAAGAACTAGCCTAAGAACTTACAAAAACAAACTAAGAAATATCCATGAGACCACCAAACTAAGCTGTATCCTTAGAAGAAGCACCCTAGCAAAGAAAACTTATCAGTGTATCACACTAAGACAAAAACCAAGTCCAATGTAAGGTTCGCGGAACATCTCAAACATACAAAAATATGTTATAAGTACATCTTACCATTTAGTGGATTTTGATTGATTAAATGACAATATGATTAAAGGTCTAACAAGTTGAATGGGCTAGAAATTATAGGTTTATCCGGAGTTCCCGGTCAAGGAGATTGGAAACTCAAGGAGAATTTCCGATCTGGGGTCTCTTTGAATTTAAATTTCCATGCGGAATTTTTAGGCTTGATGCGTTTTCAGCTATGCGGTTCTCTACTAACTTTTTAGGTCCCAAAAATTTCAATCTGACCGGAACTTTCGGCCCTGTGCAGAAAAGTGATGTAACGGTTGGGTTTTGGGGGTCGAGTATACTCCCTCACCCACTCTCTCCTTAGTGTTGATTCTAACCATGAAGAACACCGCTCTTTGGGCCAAAGAAACTCTCATCTCTCCCTCTTTATGAGGACTGATTGATTATTGTGAGATCTAACGAGTTGGATTAAGAGATTGGGTGATTGAGAGTAGAGAGAGAGAGAGAGCAATCTCATCCTTGAGCACTTGTGATTCTTGTCCAACATTGGTGAGCTCCCGAGCTTGTGGTGAGCCGCGAGGAAGTTTGTGAAGGCCCCGATTTCAACTCCACAAGGGAAGAGATCAAGTTAGTGAAGTGAGAAAAGTGATTGAAAGAAACCACTCCCTTGGGAACTCCTCAATGGAGACGTATGATTCAAAGAGGTGAATCCAAACTTCGGTAAACAAATTGGGTGTCTTCTTTGTTTGTTCTTTGTTCTTGTTGTTTAGGTTCACTTTTGGGCGATTGGGAGGAGTCAACTCACTACATGTCTACCACCCATTGGTAACAAGTAGAATCGATTAAATAGGCATAATCTTTGTTGATTTGTAATTTCAATTTACCCTAACCAGAATTTAATGTTGGGAAATTCCGATCCTATTATCCACTACAAGTTTTATATTTTTCAGGAACTCCTATTCGCACCTCCTCTAGGTAGTAGCTCGATCCTTTCATATACAATGGAAGTAATATTTATATAAGAAAGAGTTGGACGAGAAACAAATAGATTTTTTCATGGTGTCTAAGTAGTTGCTGCTGCCCCCATAGTACATGTTGGAGCACCACTAATGGTTGAGCTCCCTTGACTTATAAAGGCTCAAGATTTACTACGAGTACCCAGTCTTCACCCTGAACTGACAAGTGTCAAACCAATCACAAGACCAATCACACCTCGTTTGGAGCCTTAACCAACATTCAACTCCATTGGTAATAATTGTCAACGATGACTGGTTAGGCTCCATCGGACTATCTAGGAGTACAACCAAACTGCAATTAGTTTTGATTTCGTCAACATTTAGTATTTCTGTACTGTAAGTTTGAAGAGTAACAATTTTTGATAGTGTCAAAGTTTGACCACAGGCCTCCATTGGGAAGGTCACGTGGTCCTCCATCGGACTATCTAGGAGCTGACAAACTCTAAGAGTAACAATTCTTGATCTTCACTTGACCAGCCTCTAAGCCAAGAACAAAAGGATGGACACTAAGGCCTTCTGCAGTGTGCTCCAAGAGTGATGCCCAAAAGTAGAGAGAGTGTTTGGGCATCACTCCTAACACTGCTGGTTGTGATGCTCATTTGAAGTGAAGCCATGAAAGATGGGAGCGATACATGTAGATGCACCGGTGCCTAAATCATAAAATAGGTAATTTACTGTAGCAGAGGCAGCAGCAGTAGCCTGCGTGCCTGCGACTGAACCAGAGAATCAAAAAGCAGTGAATGTTATTTTATTCGATGTGGGTCCCAACGATCCCAGATGGCTCCGGTGCCAAATATTTTTCACACTGCAGCTCATTTGGCATCGGTGCTCAATTCTAGTTGTGGGGCCCATATATTTTGGGGCATCTCTACCACACTACGGAAGGCCTAAGATCACTGTTAGGCACTCTCTTTGACTTAAAATGCCCCCAACCCCTTCTCAAAACCTCTCCATATGTGTAAATCTTTCAGTGATTCAAGAGAGATCCAAATGGGGCAAAACAAGTATGAGAGGCACCCAACCATTGCAGAAGAGCTAACGAAGATCTTCCAATGCTCACAAATGATTACTCTCTGAATATTCTTCATGGAATATTATTTCAAACTTGACGACGAGGAGGGCACTTGGCAGGAGTTAATAAGGAACAAGTACCTAAAGAACAAGACTCTTAATCAAATTGAAAAAAATGGGTTTTTAAATTTGGATTGGTTTGCTGGGAGTTAAAGACATTTTATTAAGTCTTGGGAAGTTTAAACCCGACAATGGAACTCAAATTAGATTTTGAGAAGATAAATGGTTGGGCTCCCAAGCCTTGAAAATCCAACACCCGAATTTATTTAATATAGTGCGGAAGAAACAAGCAACTATGGCTGATGTACTTAATTCCACCCCTCTCAATGTATTTTTAGAAGGACACTAGTTGGGAACAAGTTGTTGGAATGGCAAAGTCTAGTTGTGAGACTTGCTTTTATTAACTTAAATGAGGGTCGGGATACTTTCATCTTAAACTTAAATAATAATGGCTTTGTTTTCTGTTACATCCATGTACAAATACCTAGTTAATAACGGGATTAAGGTTACCTAAAAATTTTGGCATATGAAAGTGCCCCTGAAGATTAAGATTT